GTGTGTGTGTGTGTGTGCGTGTGTGTGTGTGCGTGCGTTTGTTCATGTTTGTGCGTGAGAGAGGGTGAGAAAGAGAAAGAGATGCAGAGAGAGAGAGAGAGAAACAGAGAGGGAGAGAGAGATAGATAGATAGAGAGAGAGAGAAAGAGAGAGAGAGAGAGAGAGAGATTTATTTTGTGGGGTAGCGAGCAGTATTTCAAAAAGGGAGCACGCGATAAGTGTAAGTCTTATGTAAGGCAATACAATTATTAAGGATAGCAGCAAGACTAACGTTAAAAAATGATAGAAAACAATAATAAAATTGATAATAGCAATAGTGATAATAATGATAATTATCATTATAATGTTTTTGATAACAAAGACAACAACAACAACAACGGTAAAAAAAAGTTCCTCTTGCTGCCGCTGCTGCTGCTGCTGCTGCTGCTGCTTCTCCTACTACATGCATTACTGCTACTATAACTACTACTATTACTGTAATCGCTATATATTTCTCCTCCTCCTCCTCCTACTCCTACTCCTACTACTACTACTACTACTACTACTACTACTACTGGACAAAGCAACAACAACAAATTAATTACAGCACCAACAGGACAATACTGCCTCAGCTAAACAAACACAATAAGTGAGTCTGTAAACAATCACGGGTCTGTCTATCTTCCACTTAACACTATGACAGCTGGAGACACAGTCACAGACAAAAAAACTCGGGTAATTAATTCACTCACGTCACACATTGACATACGTATACGCCAGATTGTGCTGCCTTGCGCATGCGCAACGAGTTAAGAGACACCCCTATAATATCAACGCAAACAAAATGGGTCAGACCACTATTGTTTCAGTTAAAGGGATACTGTGACCTAGAAGTTAGTTTCTTCGCTGTCGCACGCAGGAGACCGAAGTTCGATTCCCGAGAAGGGAGGAAATTTGTATCGAGTATCTCGGTTTTTTCGCTGGGATATTGGATCCACCTCGGTCCGGGTTCGTCTTGAAACGCAGGATAGGAAGCCCGCCTTCTAAATCATTTAGTTTTTTCCGATGGGGACGTAAAAACACCTGCACTATAAAAAAATTATGGTAGGAGACACTTTGCTAATACTCAAACAAGGGTTGGATCATCATGCTTTAAAGCAAAAGCGTTCTTTTGCTCAAGACTACATACGCACACGTATTTGTTAACGCCTTATTAACACTATTAGGCCATTGAAGAGACGGAACCTCCTCTCCGAATTAACATCTGTCCCTTACAGAACCGAACTAAATGGGTTGATGGCGTTGAAAACTCAACAAAACGAACGAAGTTCAAGAATACCTAGGCTGGGATGTGAACAAAGGCAGTCCGCTCTGTAGTCCAGCATGATACCATGTGCTAACGAAGCATTCAGTCTATCTCTATCATTTTCCCACTCGTCCATGTGGTTAAAACTGTCTATATATTTTTACTCCGGTGTAGCTACATAACAAAACAGCTATATTATTAAATGACACTGTATTTATTACTTTTTCTCATGTTTCCTTGTGCTATGTTCGGACCAATCAAGTTTTCAAGACAGATGGTTGTTCAAGATCTGGTTTGATCAAATTAAAATGTTTTGAGAACAAATTATGATACCTCAGTATGTGTTTTGTGTGCATATGTGTGTGTGTCTGTTTGTTTGTGTGTGTGC